ACCAAGAAATCTGAAAGAGCACTGGGTGATCACATATTTATAGAAACTGACGTTGTTGAAACTCCGTCAAAACTGAGTGATATTCCAAAAGTATTAAATGAAAAGTAAGAATTATTACTTAATGTATATTTTATTCATAGTTATAAATTATGACTATCGAGAATTAATATAAATTAAACCATAGTGGTAAACATTTTATAAATTAATTAATAGTTTTTTATATGAGCACGAAATTACTAACAAACAAATTTATAAAAGATTTTACATTTTTGTTAAAAAATAGTTATTGATATTGATTTGAAAGTTTTAAACAGGTACTAACTATTTTTGAATATTTTTATTCGGAACATTATAATGGTTTTATACTTACTATATATTAATCATATGATTTCAGGTATCTATTAATAGCTGTAATACACTACGCGTTTGGACATTATACAACATACATATATAGAGTGGGAAAAAATGTGTGGGAGTTGCATAATGACCTCAATAAAAAAATAACTGTGGTAAAAAACGAAGAAAATAAGGTGCAACCTCATATATTAATGTATGTACAATCAAAATGATTTTTTTTGGTACATTCAATTTTTTCTGTGAACTGAAAACTTTTTAATAGTAAATCATAAACTTATAATAAGGCTAAAAATACCTGTTTCTATTCAATGTATTTATTATTCTTTTTTTCCAAACTATTATTATAATATTATAATATTGTTATTAAAATTAACTTTTATATATTAATATTGTCATGGTTTTTTATACTTTGTTATAATTTTTTTTGTATTATTTTATGATGTTAGTTATAACCAGTATAACAATTTTATCTTTAATGTTATATTATACATTTTCTATAGTAAGCTGTTATGGCAACTACCTATAATTGTAAACAGTTAAGAGGTGCTACCCGAGGTTGTGGAAAGCAGAGACTTAATACGTTTGTGATAAGTATAACTTTATTTACTGTTTTTAATTATGATCTTGTTTTATACCTACTAAGAAGTTGAAAGAGTAAACGAAAAGAAACCTACCTAACTATTATGAATACTTTATTTGATCAGTTCTACAACTATTACAATGATTCATATTTATATAATTATAATTTATTACTACAACTATAATATTGTAGTTATTTAAGTTTACTTTTATTAAGTTTTATATATGAATATCGTAATGCTTTTTTATACATTATTATAATTTTTTTTTATTATTTTATTTAGTTGGATACGACAAGTGTAATGATTTTATCTTTCTAAAGTAAGCTTAGTGTACTGATTTGGCAACTCTGATTGTAAATAATTAATAAGTTTGTGATACAATTTTTAATATTGTGATCTTATTTTATACCTACCTACTAAGAAATTGAAAGAGTCAACCATATTGAAATAAATGAGAACTATAAAGTGATATTTTTTTGTAGTCTTTTTACATAAACCTGTTAAAATCAGTTAAATTGCAAATTCTAAAACCAAACTTGCAAATTCTTGCAAATCAGTAGCTATCGTTTGGTTCCGATTTGGACCGATTCGGAGTACTTGGGTGGGCCAAGTTCACAAGTTCAAAAGCTCACGGCCGGGGCACGAGTGACTTGCAAATTCTAAAACCAAACTTGCAAATTCTTGCAAATCAGTAGCTATCGTTTGGTTCCGATTTGGACCGATTCGGAGTACTTGGGTGGGCCAAGTGAATTTGGCCCACCCTTAAATTTCTCAAAAACCGGTTACTTGCAAATTCTAAAATTGTGCTTGCAAATTCTTGCAAATTACTTGCAAAATATTGTTGGTGCTTTGAAGTAAATTCTATAACTTGGGTGGGCCAACTTCACATACGTAATACATAGTCTATTAAAATAAAATAGTCTGTTTTTTTATTGTATGGGTTCCTGCTTCTAACCTGTAACAACGAATGCTCGTTCAAACCGTATTCGTTTATAACGAGCAACCAAATATAACAAGAAAAACTAGCCGGTGGCCCTTGAAATCATTAAAACCGATTTCTACTGTATATATTTTTTTAATCACATTTATGAATTTAAAGTATAAATACAAAACAACTATACTAAGTTTAAGTATTTTTTGCAAGGAAGACGGTTGGCTGCTAAACCCCAATCAGCCGATGTGAAAAGGTTTGTTTTCTTATTATGTTTTAAAAACGTCAGGTCGAGACCTATCCGGTCGGTCTTCCTTATCACCCAATACTATAAAATTTGCTTAAACATAAAAATAAATATGATATCCATATCAGAATATGATCGAAAGGAAGCTGTATTGTTATGGTTGCAATATATCTTTTTTCTATAGAAATCTGTCAAGGCCTAAACGTTACAGTTAAATTAATAAGTGTCCCCCCTGAAATCAGATGTGTTGTAGGCCCTGTATATTATCACACTTCAAAGCCAGATTGGTAAGATTTAAGAAAAATTATCTGAACACTATTTTTTTTAATTGAAATTATTAATCTGAGAGTTATGAGCATTTTTATACTGTGGTAAATGTTGTATAAAAGGTAACCATATAGAAGTTTCTCTTTTGTCGTACTAATTTAGATATCATTACAAAATTGGTTCAGCAGTACAATAATTTGTTAATATGTTCTATGTTTGTTTAAACTGAGCATATTTATATAAATGGTAGATGAATTTAATATTGTGATTTTTTCATACAAATACAATTGATCATATATTACAGTGAAATACAAAATATAACAATGTTATGTTCAATGAGTAACACTTAACTATTATATTTTTTCTTCAAGGATCACAAATAATTTAAAATATAATACTAGGCACAACACTTTGATCACACAATATTCAATAAAAAAAGCAAAATTAAATACATTCAAAATATATAAGCAACAACATAACATATTGTATTAGTTGTATTTAAGTAGTTATCATATTTTTAAAGTTATTAATCTATAAACATTAAATCTTAATACATAGTTACAAATTTAATACTAATAATAGGAACAAAACGTTTGTCAGAAAATATTCAATAAAAAAATGAAAATGAGAATACAATCCCAATGTATAAGAAACATATTATATAACTTGAATTCTCAACAAATCTAATTAACAATGTGATGGGTGAACAAAAACAAATAAATTATTGTTTAAAGGTGAAATAGTAAATTCACAATATGTAAATAAAAATATAATACATATCAATAACACATGCCTGAAATTGGTTGAAAACATTTAAAATGATTACCTGTACACTGTTACCTTTGCTATCATATGAATTTAAAATAAGATAATCTAATGATAACAGCCGCTTTTGGCTTGACATGCTTCACAATACCATGCTTGGAAACATTTAACTGCATATTCTATGTGTTCCAATAATACCAGATGCGTGACATAGTAGTATTTCCCACGATCCACTGTTTAGAAAACAAAAAAAATATTAATGGCACTTAATTTATAGCATAATAATAACATAATATGATTATAAAGATACCTATTATATAATTATGGCATTTGGGGGACGAAGTTGCCGAGTGGATAATGTGTCGGTTGCAACGCGCACCGTCGCCGGTTTGAATCTCGGTCATGGGCAGCACTTCTCTCCGTGCAGTCACGATGTTTGGAGAGAGAGGCAGACATCACCCACTCAGGCATGGCAGAAACCTACGGGTGCAAACTAGAAATTCTGCCAAACAAATACACACGTGTTCCATAACCCTACAGTCCCACAACCTACAGCTAATAGCCTCAGAGCCGAAGCTTAAAAAAAAAAAAAATTATGGCATTTTGTACAACATTATTAATTGCTATAAGTCAGCATTTAATGTAAAGGAAAAATTTAATATTTCAAACAACATGTCAACAAAGGTTAAATTTGACCTTAAGGGGGCTGCAGCACGCGTATTTTTCATACGTTTTAGACCAATAAGCGGTGGTAAATTACACATACTTCGGATTGTCCGATTTAAATTTTTTATACATGTATGAGTTCGTTGACAAAATATCTAGGCTTTTTAGGAAGCCGATTTTTGATTTTCAATTTTAAAAGACCTAAAAGTTAAGATATTTTTTTCAAAAATCCTGTGAAATAATTGCATTATATTTGTACTTATTTTGAGCATATCTGATTTTAAATAAAAAATCGACTTCCTAAAAAGCCTAGATTATTTGTCAACGAATTCATACATGTATTAAAAATTCAAATCGGACAATCCGAAGTATGTGTAATTTACTACCGCTTTTAGTAGTTTTTATAGTTATGCATACAAGAATATATTTTCGTTTTTCGTAATTCATTGACACGTGCGTGTGCGTTTTTTATGAGCGTTTGTAGTTCATAATTATTGTACAACAATGGATATTCAATCGATTTTCTTATTTGATTGTAATTCAAAAACGAATAATTACGAAGTGATAATAAGTCTATTTTTATCAATAGGCACATTTTTTTTTATAAGAACTTAAAGTCCCAATTTTGACAATATTTATCAAGCTGAAAATTTACGAGTCATTTTGCTGTTAAAAAATGTATAAATGTTTAAATAAAATCCTAAAATAAAGTGCGCCGAGAGTCACCTACTTACACGCTTTTTTAATCAGTTATACATTTTTTTTCAACATTTTCAAATAGCCAATTTGTAATTCTGGATTTTAGAAAACTTTAAACTGTTGAAATTGTTACCTATAATACATAGGTTAGGCTATCCAAGTAAAGTGGTTCATTTTTTAATACATTTATATAAAATGTATTTTTTTAAATAGCTTATTAATTTGAAAAGATTAAATTTTTTAAAAAAAAATAGGTAATGAGATTTAAAAAAAATTTAAACGACAAACTACAATAAGCTTAAATAGGTACATGTTTTTACAATCAGCATTTTTCTAAAAATCAAATTAACAAATTGAAAATTACATATCAGATTTAAATTTTTATTTCTCTTAGGTAAAAAAAAAATGCGAGATATTTAAGGCTGTAAATTATATATTTATATTTTTATATTTTAAAAAAAATTAAAATATATTGATTAGAAAAAAAGTTATTTAGTTTGTTAAGTCTTCCTATACAGTACTGCACCCTCCATATTAAATTAAATGTATCTATTATATTACTCTCGGTTTTCCAAAAAGGGCAATATAAATTCCATTTGTTGGGAAAACCTCCAAGGTGGAATATTCTTGGTAGCTTGACCACTTGTCTTACTTCTACGTCTTCTGATGGCATTTAGAAAACAATTTCGCAATTTAGTCCATTCTGACTTACACTTTTCAGCTATTACAAAAAATATTTAATTACTTGTTTGATGATTTATGAATTTATTTCATATTAAGTAAATATTTTTATTTTTTCATAAGCACAAAATTCGAAGTATATAAACATAATTTTATTTTTTTTTGCAAACATCAAATTATACATATACTGTGAATTATATAGTTTAATAATAATTAATATTAATAATTTTATGTTAAAATTAAATTTTAAATAAGAGTCGTAAATAATACTGTCTATATACATAACGGCGAAAACACATTTATTGTTCAATATATATTTTGCATTATTCTAATACCTTTGAATCATAAAAGTATTTATTTAATTAATAATTAATATAATTGTAATATATTTGAAAATTATTAAGGTAATTTTGTATTGCCATTCATTTTTAGTTTTTAGATCATCATACCCTTTTCCTGTTATATTGTGTAGCTTATTTTTTAGGGATAAAAAAATATCTTATAATTAACTAATTATAAATAAATTATTATTTCAATATTAAATTTTAAGTATAACATTCTTATTTAAACTTTTAAATATTTACAGATTTTTGGCCACCGGGGAATCTTATAGGTCTTTAGCCTTTAGTTTTCGTCTGGGGTTTAGCACAACCAGAGAAATCGTTGAAGAAGTCTGTGAGGTTATCTGGAAAACATTAAGACCGATCTACATGCCGAAACCCACCAAAGATGGATGGAAAAATATTAGCAGGGAATATAAAGAAATATGGAATTTTCCCAATTGTATTGGATCTCTTGACGGTAAACACATTAATATTCAATGTCCTATAAATGCTGGATCGGCATATTTTAATTATAAAGGAGTAAATTCGATCGTCTTACTTGCTTTGGTAGATGCTCACTATAGATTTATAACTATTGATGTGGGTTCTTATGGTCGGAATTCTGATGGAAATGTATTTGCTAAATCTGCGTTAGGGAAAGCGTTAGAAAATAATACATTAGATGTTCCACCTGATACACCAATAGAAGATAATGGAGACCCAATGCCATACGTAATTGTCGAAGATGAGGCATTTCCCTTGAAGCCATATCTTATGAGACCATATAGTAGGGTAACTTTGGGTGGTAATGAAGGAAACAAAATTTTTAACTACCGACTCTCTCGTGCAAGACGTGTAGTGGAAAACGCGTTTGGAATACTTTCAAATCGTTGGCGAGTATTCAGAACAAATATTCAAGTGCAACCTAAGTCCGTAGACAACATAGTACTTGCTGCATGTTGTCTTCATAATATGTTATGCCAAAGTCATGATTTTCAATTGGATGAAACAAATAATTATGAAAGTACTGAAGTTCTTGAAAATATGGAACCGTTAAGAGGGAATAGCACTCAAAGATCATTTGAAATACGCGAGAAGTATAAAGATTTTTTTTTGTCATCTGTTGGGGCAGTACCGTGGCAGTACGAGATGATTCGAAGAGGACGAATTAATATTTGATCAACAATTTTAAATAACAAAATAATATGTTCCTTGTTAAAATTATTTTAAATTAAAAATTATTCCTTATTATTTGTATATACAATAAATAAAAACATAATAAACATGTATACATTTATTTTTAATATGGTGTATATAACTATTCATAGGTAGTATCATAGGTTCATAATATATCAATTTGTATCAATATTCAATGTACAAGTATTATTTCATATTATTAATAATATTATTAATTCGATCTTTAAAAAAGAGTTATTTAAATATTTATATATTAAAATTAATATCTTACCTGACATTTGTAGATTTTTACCAATCTCTTCCCATGCCTCTTTACGAATGTTCTGATCTTTATAATCGGCGGAAAAAACATCGTATAAAGACTTGTGTTCGCGGACATTTTCAATTAATGACTCTTCAAATGAAGACATTATAAAAAAATTATTATAATTAAGAAACTAACTGAAAATAAATGATAAACCAATTGCATCAACCGATGTCTGGAGTAAAATGTCGTATTTTAAATAATACGATCCTATCACACGTCACACGTTTTTCAAAATTGTTTGAAACGCGTGGCGTGGAATCGAGTGGGAACACGTTGCGTGTTATAAATATAATCACAAAACCGAATAATATTTTAAAATAAACGGGTTAACACGCGATTTAAAATTATCGGCGTGTTAACGCGTGGCGTGTAAAGACATGTTAACGCGTGGCGTGTGAACAGTGTGTCCCTAGCTTAATAGTGACGAGCGTGTGAGTAAGATAAGGAATTTAATTAGGAGCGATCATTTAAACAATGAGGAGCGCGAATCGATAATAGAAATCTGCGAACGATATGCAGATATATTTTATTTAGAAAACGATTACCTAACAATGACTACTGCCGCCGAACACGTAATTAAACTACCATTAAATCAACCACCGATACACCGAAAACCGTATAGGTTACCGCACGCGCAAATGCCCATAATTGAAAAAGAACTCTTAAAAATGGAGGAAAACGACATAATAGAACGTAGCATGAGTCCTTTTAATGCACCACTATTACTAGTAAAGAAAAAAGCCGATGCATCAGGGAAAGAAAAATTCAGAATAGTCATAGATTTTCGAGCATTAAACAATGTAATTCTGAATGAATTTCACCCGTTACCTAATATCACCGAAATACTAGATCAGTTAGGTCAGTGCCAACTGTTCTCGCTGATAGATCTTAAGGCAGGGTACCACCAACTTAATCTAGCTAAAGATTCTAGGGAGTACACAGCTTTCTCAACAGGTCAGGGACACTATCAGTTCAAACGACGGGATGGGGGTACTTTTCCCGAAATTTCATGGAGAGGAAAAAAAAAAATAATGAAAAAAGAATGATAACCCAACCTAGCCAATATCAAAATTTATACCACAACTCGTTCCAGAATATACCAGAGATCCAGTAGTGACACCACCAATAAGAAATAATTTACAGTGATGCCTTGTTAGTGGCACTCGTCGCTACGCTCCTCGGCGCCGTCGCTCCGCTCCGCAAATCGAAAATATCCCTCGACTTGTTATGCAACACCACCTCAAGTTGGTCACTGTGTAACCGCTGTCATACCATAGACAACCACGCTTATCATTTTCGGCCACAGATATATGGAATAAAGTTAAAATAGTTAAAATAAGTTTATTCTATATATCTGTGTTTTCGGCCAAAAGCTTATCACTACCGCTATCAAAATCGGGAAATCTTTTTTTTCTCCATGAAATTTTGGGAAAAGTGCCTGAAGCCCTCAAACGACTAGTCATGGTACTAGCCTCCGCACCGAGTACGTTCGCAAGTATGATGGCAAATGTCTTGTCAGGTCTAATCGGAGTAAAATGTCTAGTGTATCTGGACGACATAATAATATACGCTAAAAATCTAAGTGACCATAATAATAAACTAATCGATGTATTCGAAAGATAACGTATCCATAACCTAAAAATAGAACCAGATAAATGTGAGTTTCTTAAAAGAGAATGTCTATTCTTAGGGTATATAATTTCGGAGCACGGAATAAAACCAGATCCAAATAAAATTACTTCAGTCATGAATTTTCCGACACCAAAGAATGTCAAGCAAATCAAAAGTTTTCTAGGTCTAAGCGGGTATTACCGAAAGTTCATAGAAAACTATAGTGCCATAGCAAGTCCGATGACAAATCTATTAAAAAAGGACGTAAAGTTTAATTGGGATAATAACTGTCAACAAGCGTTCGATAAATTAAAAACAAAACTTTGCACAGAACCAATATTACAATATCCCGATTTTACAAAAGAATTCATATTAACAACGGATGCTAGCGGGAAAGCGTTAGGAGCGATTCTGTCGCAAGGAAAAATAGGAAGTGACTTATCAATTTCGTATGCATCACGCACGTTAAATAAATTCGAATCAAATTATTCAACAACAGAATTAGAATGTCTAGCAATCGTATTCGGGGTAAAACATTTCCGACCATATCTCTATGGCAGAAAGTTCACAATTCTCACTGATCACCGACCATTATCATGGTTATTTAATCTAAAAGTTCCATTATCTAAATTAGCTAGGTGGAGAATCGAATTAGAACAATATAATTACGAAATTAAATATAAACCAGGGGTACAAAACACAAATGTCGACGCATTAAGTCGTATGTACACTTTTAAGGAAATCAAAGACGAAATTACGCGAATTTTATTGAAAAATCAGAAACAACCATAATAACGAAGAAAAATGTAAAGGAAGTACACGGTGAACTAATAGAGTCACCGAATGAATATCATATAGTATCGGAAATAGAGAAATATTATAATTTTAGATCGGGCATAAATTACGAATTAAAACAGAAATTTGGGGTAGATAAACAAATAAAATCGAATAAAGACGTAGGAAAAGTTGTTAAATTCAAAAATGAGGACAGGTACATAATATTTTTGATAACCAAAAGTAAACCAAAACAATTAGCAACATATGAAAACCTGCATTTGGCACTGTTAAATTTAAAATATTTTTGTGAAAAACATAACCTAAGTAAACTGGCCATGAACCAATTAGGACGCAAGGACGGATTGGAATGGACACAAGTTAGGGCAATGATACCTATTCCCGAACACGTTTTCATCGATTTTTTTAATGATTTTTTACACACGCCGACAATATTAGAAAACCCGCATCCAGCACCGATTTTTCGTTTAGCCTTCATACCAGTAGTTACAAGCCACGCGGCAGCTTTTTTTTTGTAATCCGCGTCTTTAGCTCCCACTCTGCTCCAAGCACGTTCTTCCAATATACGGTCAGCCACACCACGTTCGGTCAAAGAATTACTTTTATCGTAGGCTATATCGTGTTCCCTGCACACCGTGTCCAAACCGTTTATTCCGGGTTGTCCGAGAACAAGTCTTTTCCCTAAATTAGTCCCCAGCCCACAGTACTGATAACCGGGCAGATGTAATTCAAACGGTAAACTATTTATTACGGTGTTCAGCAGACCTGCACCACTATTGGTCTTGACCTTCGTACGTGGCAACATTATATGAGCACTTTGCTCGAACGACACGCGATTTCATACAATGAAATTTCTCAGTCAAGAAATTAAGCTTAAAGTCAATAATATCGATTCACTATCGCAAAGCAATGGATCGCGCCCCCCTCGTCACGGACCTCTTCCCGATGCTCTGAGAGCTTTGATCATCGGAAAATCCGGTAGCGGAAAAACCAACCTGGTTTTCACGCTTTTGGTACACAGGGGAGGCTCGTCAAGGGAGACTTTGAGACTGCGTCTCCCCTTAAAAAAAAAACGGCTACTTGTAAATAATAATGTATAGAAATATTTTTATTTGAATTCAAAATATATTATATCGTTTTCATTGCTTATTATTATAAATTGATGGTCACAAAATCGAAAACCTATTAATAGTTATCTCGATTCTCGATAGAAATACTATTTATAGTAATTTCTACGACGAGCGACGATCGCCGCGCGCCACGCCGGTATCAGTGAAACTGAAGCCAGACAGTTTCAATCGTAATATGTAATGGCATGGCTGGATGGTCGGAGGGGGCCGGGGAGATTAAGCTGCGTATTATAGACGCTATTGAACCTGGGTTCACGATAGTAATTGCCATGCCGCCGCGCCGTCCGTAATTAGTTTTAGACGTTTTAATCGCTGTTTTCATAATTTAAAAACCATTAAAAATGCAAAAACACCAAGTTATTGATTTTTTATTGACCCGTGGTTTTAATTCATTAACATACGAAGAAAAAAATCAAATAAAACTTAATCGCCCAACTCCTAATCTGATATTAACTTGTCAAGACGGTAAATATATTAGAAAATTTCAAAACAGTTGGCATAATAAATTTTCATGGCTCACTGGTTGTGATAAACGAAATAAAGGGTTTTGTTTTACTTGCGTAATATTCGGAGGGGAAAAGGAATGGAGTGTTAATGGATTGTCATCAATCAAAAATTTTTTAAGGAAATCAGAAAAACACGCCATTTCCCAAAAACATTTAACTAACCAAGAAAAATTTCATCTGTTGGTTAAAGTCCGAATTGAACACGCGATTTCAGAAGGTCGACGACTTGCTGCTGTAAAACATAACGAACAGGTCGGTATAAATAGACGTATATTAGCACGTATGATACATGTTGTTTGTTTTTTGGGCAAACAAGAACTTGCTTTTCGTAGCCATCGGGAAAATAATGAATCTTTAAATAAGGGAAATTATCTTGAATTACTCGAACTACTGGCTCAAGAAGAGCAGTTGCTTAAAGAGCACTTATTGTCATCGGAAATATTTAAAGGTACATCTAAGACGATACAAAATGATTTGATTGAATGCGTAACTTCCGTTTTAAATTCTAGAATTTTTAATGAAATACAAAGAGTTAATTACGTATCTATTCAAGCAGATGAAACGACTGATGTATCATGCCGATCGCAAATGAGCATAATTTTTCGGTATGTTGTTGAACAAAATATTGTAGAACGATTTATTGGATTTTTTGACGTTTCAAAAAATAAAACAGCCTCTGGATTAGCAGATATAATTTTATCTGAAATGAATAAGTGGGAAATTGGAAATAAAATTGTATGTCAGACCTATGATGGTGCATCGGTTATGTCGGGAGAAAAAAGTGGTGTACAATTTCGTATAAGGCAAATTTATCCAAATACATTATTTATTCATTGTTACGCACATCAGTTGAACTTGGTATTGTTACACGGGGCGAAGACAATAAAATCAGCCAAACTCTTTATTTGCAATCTAACTATGTTCCATACGTTTTTTAGTCGGTCTACTAAAAGAAGTGAATTATTAAGAGAACAAGGTTTTAAACTTCCAAATAAATCTGACACTAGATGGAATTATCACACAAGAGCCGCTTCTACAATAAAAAAACATTTTTTAGATCTCAAAAATGCCGTTTTACATGTAACTGAAGAACCAAGTTGGGACCCTATATCCGTTTGTACAGCATCTGGTCTTTATGATAAGCTAAATGATGCAAACTTCGTGTATTTCTTGATTTTGTTTAGCAAAGTTTTTTTATACACAGATCATGTATTTAACTTTCTCCAATCAAAATCCCTTTCGAATATAAAATCTTGCATTTCCGAAATTCAAAATTTAAAAAAAAATCTGG